GCCGGGCCCCCCAGCGGCAGCCGACTTGGGGCCAGCAGGACGCGCGCAGCCAGTCTCAGAAGACTCAGGGCTGGAGCATGCCGCAGGTGGCGCGCCGCCAGCCCTAGAAGACTCAGAGCTGGAGCATGCCACAGGGCGTGCGCCGCCAGTCTTAGCAGCTTCTGCATGCTTTTCTGGGCTAGCCGGCTCGAAAGCGGCAAGGGGCGCGTCGCCAGTTTCAGCAGACTCCGAGCAGGGGCATGCCGCAGGGCGTGCGCCGCCAGTCCGAGAAGACTCAGAGCTGGAGCATGCCGTCGGGCGTTCGCCGCCAGTCTCAGCTTTTTCTGTCTTCTTGTCTGGGCAAACAGACTCGGGGTCGGCAGGACTGGCGCAGCCAGACTCTGCCGACTCGCGGTCAGCCCACCTCGAAGGGCCCGAGGCCCCATGCGATCAGCTCGATACAGCAGCAGAAGACGAGGCCGCAGCGTTTTGGTTTGACGAATAGATGCCTTCTCTAAGTGTCTCGCGGCTGCGCGTCGCAGACCCCCGTGTCAGCACCCGGGAGGCGTGGCCCCAAGAGCGGGGATTCACGAGAGATTCGGCTCTCCGCGGCGGACCATATCTTTTTCTTTAACGCTGCGCTGGCTCGTTTGGTCCTGATGCCGAGGAAAAAGCGATGATGTTGATGATGATGATGATGATGACGATGATGACGATGATGATGATGATGCTGGTGATGATGATGATGGTGATAAGGAGAAGGGGAGGAGGAGGAGGAGGAGGAGGAGGAGGAGGATGAGGGAGCGGCCGTGGTCTGGGTACTCTACTATTGCTTTTCAGGGGAGATGGTACCAATCGCGGGCATGGTGGTCGCGTTTGGGGCATTCTTATGCGCAGGGGGCGAGGCCCTCATGCCTTCACCTGGACGAGAGCGGCCGCCTGTAAGGCGCAGCCATCCCTCAGGCTCGGTGGAAGCCCCGTCAGTCAATGTTCTGGGAGCCCTACGCCTGCTTGCAGGCGAGGGATCCCGTCATTGACTTCGGGGGCGCCTGTGGGGGAGTCCTATGAGTCCACCTCGTCGAGTGTGGACATGGACCGCCACCGTCACACCCTCACTACGTGCCAACAGTGCGCCATGTAGCCAACAATGTGCTGTTTAGCCATCTCACCTCATGCGGCCAGGCAGCCGCGCCTGTCGCCAACAGAGGGTGGTCGCAGCCTGCACTAGTGCGACACCCAACGTTCGGCTACCGTTAGAGGGAGGGTTGGCACGGTTTGTGTGGACACGGACCGCCTCCGCCACACCCTTGCTGCGTGGCAGCAGTGTGTTAACAACCTCCGTCGCACTCTTCATTTAAACCTTACCTACTGTGGCCAGGCAACAGCACTTGTCGCCAACAAAGGGCGACCACAGCCTACAGTTATGCGACATCCCACGCTAAGTTACTATCAGCGGGATGGTTGGCATGGTACGGGGGCTGGGGTCGGAAGGAGCAGCCGCGGGCTGCCCTGGCAAGGCCGGGCCAACAGCCGGCCCCATTGCCGCCGCAACGCAAAGCAACAGCAGCGCGCCTCTAACTGCTTCATTTCACAGCCGCTGCTTCAGTCGCCCCACTTCCCCTTTGTCCACTTCCACGCATGGCCAGGCCACGAGATTTGGGACTGGGGGTGGGGAGCACGAGCCGCGGACTCGCCCTCCCGGCGACCGCCAGGGCGGCTGCTGCCAGCACTGCCGCCACGACACAACGCCGCAGCCGCTCACCGCCAGCAGCTTCAGTACCTCTTACCGGCTCGGCGCCTGAGCTACAGCCGGGCCTGGAGACCATTTCTGCCGCCACTCTTGAGCAGCGCGCTGCTCCCCTCTCCTCCGTTCCTCTTGAGGCTATAATTTATGGTTCCCTCCTCCTATTTCCCATCGTTTTGTTTGTTTGTTCGTCACTTCTACCGTGTTTCTCATATCCCACCACCAGCGGGCGACGCCCAGAGCGGTGGTTTAGGAGTCGCCTGGCTTTAGTTTGATCCCCCCCTGGGCCGACCGGCCCCAGGGGGACGGAGGGCGTCAATCGAGGATATTTCACGCCATCAGGAATCGGGGGTCAGGCGGAGGAGGAGGAGAGGAGGAGGAGGAGGAGGAGGAGGAGGAGGAGGAGGAGGAGGAGGAGGAGGAGGGGGGAGGGAGGCGGAATGAGGAGTGAAAAGGGGGAAGGAGGGATGAGAGGAGAGGCGAAGAGGAGGAGAGGGAGGGAGGGGGGGTGCAAGGGAGGGCAGGCGGGGTGGTGGCACTGGGGCGTGCCCGCCCGCCGAGGTCTTCCCGACCCTGGCGGGGGAGCTGACGGCGGCCGCCGAGCCGGAAGGCCCCGGCGCGCCGGCGCCTCTCGCGATGCTGATCGGCTTCCTCCCGGGCAGGACAGCGCCGCCCGTGCGGAGGGCGTCCGTCGTCCGTCGTCGCCGCCGTCGTCGTCGTCGTCGTCGTCGTCGTCGTCGTCGTCGTCGTCGTCGTCGTCGTCGTCGTCGTCCTCGTCGCCGTCGTCGCCGTCGTCGTCGTCGTCGTCGTCGTCGTCGTCGTCCGTGCTCGCAGGCCTAGAGGTTGACACCAACACCAAGATCAGCGGTGTGCCTCCACCGAGGGAAGACGATCCCGATCTCGGAGACGGTGGTAAGATTCTGGCTTCCAGGGTGGCCGAAATAGTACCACCAACACCGAGATCTAGGATCATCTCCCCCCTGTGGAGGAAAACCCCCTGTGTTGGTGTTGGTGCCCATTTCCAGGCCTCCAACGTGCGGAGGGCGGTCGTCGTCCGTCGTCGTCGTCGTCGTCGTCGTCGTCGTCGTCGTCGTCGTCGTCGTCGTCGTCGTCGTCGTCATCGTCGTCGTCGGGGATCGGGGGTCGGGGGTCTCGAGGTGCGTGCGTGTGCGCGGTCGCCGTGGAGTGCTTCCCGCGGCGTGTGTGCCCCCTCCCCCGCCGCCTCTCCTCTGCGGCCGCCGCTCACTGCCCGTTCCTGCTCCTGCGGCTGGCCAATAATTCGTTTGCGGAGCGCCCCCGGCAACTTGAACGCGCGAGCGGACTGCCCACGCCGCGTCGCGCCGACCAAAGAAGTGCGTGCGCGTGTGTATTTGTGAATGTGTGCGTTTGTTTTCGTCCCTCGCGTCCCGTTTAGCTCTTGACCGGAAGGGGCCCGCTCCCGACACGCAGACCAAAAAGTTTGCTTTCGTCCACTCCCCGCCTCCCCCCGCCACCCATGCCCAGATGGTTGTGGCTGCCGCCGGTTGCGAGACCCTAGGCAGTCTCTGAGAACTCTGCCGAGCGTAGGGGCGCGCGTTTCCGTGCCTGCACTCGACATGTTGGGCACTCGCTAGGCCATCCCTCCTCCGTCCTCCGCACCTTCGTTCCGCCCTCCATGATGACCCAAAGCCACGCTGGGGTTCGCTAGCGCATAAGCGTCGTAAGAACCGAGCGGCACGTTGGGCAGCTCATTGGCTACCGGACGCTCTTCTTCAAAATCGATCCATCAAAAATGAGGTGGACTGGGTGGCCTGGCGCGTCGAGTACGTCCCCCACGTGTTGCAGGGGCCTATTTTCGACCCGCTATTCCTGACGGACGCCCATCGCGCGCAGGATGCCCTGGACATCTGTCGCGGCGCGTCTAACACCTACAACGAGGGCAGGCGGATATATGGGCGATGATCTTCCCCGTGCCAGACAACAAACAGCTCTCCGCCGACGTGCAGTGGTTGAACGCCGCGCTCGCCGTCGCTGGGTGCCTAGCCATCGTGGCCATACTCCTGGCGAGGACGACCCGCCACTTCCGCGATTGCGATGATGATCGCAACCCAGATGCTGAAATGGACGCGCCCGATATCCTATAACTGGAGCAATTCCCTGGAGATCTCCCTGATCTTTGGCTTCGCCTCCGCATGCCCCTTGGCGACGCTCGCGCCCCCTCGTGCGTGGGACTATCACTACTACCACAGCGCCGTCCCTGCATCGTCGGCGGCACCGACGACGACGCCATCCAGCACTGCTGCGTGTGCCCCAAGATGCTGCATCACCTTGTGGCTCTCCGTGGGTTTCTCAGTTGCGACCTCATGGTTCTCCTCGCTCTACCCAGTTTGGACACAGAGTGCGACGGCGATAACGGCATCATCAGCTCAGCCGCTAGGTTGGCTGTGGCGACGAGAGCCTACCACATCAAGGACGGCTTCAACAAGCCTTCCGTGAACGTCTACAACGCCGTCTCCGCCGCCCGCCGAGCCTTCCATCCCTCGCACAGCCTGAGCGGCGGAGCTGGCTGCTCGGCGGCGCCGCGGCACTGCTGGACCGAGCCCCCCGCCCAGGTTTCGCGCACTCCTCCTCGTCGTTCCCTTACGTTCTCTTCGTGCCAGCCCTCCTCCCCCTTCCCCTGCCTAGGTGGCGCTCGTGTTCTCTAGCAAGGCTTGCCGTCCGCCTCACCCGAGACCGCGAGTCCCCCCCCCCCCCCCGAAATGGTTTCCCTCCTCTCGCCCTTCCCCTTCCTAGGTGGCGTTTGTGTTCTTTCGCAAGGCTTGCCGTCCGCCTAACCCGAGACCGCGAGTTCCCCCCCTCCCCCGAAGTGGTTCATCACCCGGCGCCCCAGGCGTGCAGAGAGACTGCTGCAAGTGCGTGCCATGCGTTCGGGGATAGCTCAGGAGGGGAAAAAACACACAGACACAATTAATCCTCGATTCCCCAGAACATAAGGGAAAATATGGGAAGTGGGGGGGAAGACAAAATCCCAGAAAATATGTGAAAATATTGGGAATCCTTTTATTTGTGTGTATTTAGTTGTGTGTCCCAGGGCCCCTTCAATAGCGAAGGGTCCAGGACCATAAAAAACGGATTCAGCACGAAAGATACCCCCGGGGAAGGGGTCAGGAGCTCCTGGGGCCACGGGTTCTGGACAAGCATGCCGGAGGATGCCTGGGTCTCCGCTCCCTCCCCAGGCGTTGAGGCGGATGGTGTCGGAGAGTCACGCCGCATCATCGCCGGAGCATCGGCAATGTGGCTCGGTGTGTGGATGTTCATGTTCTTCGCGCCGACGGCGCCGCTGCATTGCCAGTGTCGCCGATGCATCGGCGACGCATCGACCGACCCCGGAGAGTCGGACCCCAATCAGGGAAGCAGTCAGCAGTCATGTGAGCCGCATGCCTGCCCAGCTGAGCGGTGGCCCTTGAGCCCCGGGTCAACGATCATGTCGCTCGGTGCCTCGTCGTCGCTAGGCTGATCAGGTCGGGAGGTCTGCGCCAAGACATCAGAAAGAGAATGGTGGAGGGCTGGTCTAGCACATTGCACTTTCGATCCAATTGTGGCGCTCTCTGTGTATCTCGCTTGCCAGTTCGTAGGACATGTGCGTTTGAGCTGTCGCGAAGGTAGTTGCCATAATATTTGTTTCACGAATTGCCCAGCCAATGTTCGGTGTTTATTATTCCCACGAAAGGTTGCGTTTGGAGTGCTAGCGTTCGGCACAACAATCATTGTGTCTTTCAGGGTGATCTCCAACAACGAGCTGTTGAGCCACACCTTCTTACATGGCAAGCTGGTTTATAGTGTCTTCTCTTTTTGCTCCTTGTGTGCCGAGAGTGCAAGGATCTGGACTCATGTGCAGGCCAGCCATGTATTCCACATTGATTGTCGAATACCACCTATTGGTGAATTAGTCGTGACGCAGTCTTGTTCTGTACGAGAAAAACGAAGCACTGGGCACCGACGCCGATTCTTGGCCTCGGAGTGTAGTAGGGCTTGAGATGATACGCATACCGACGTCTCTTTTGCAGAATTCGATGTGTTCGGTTCATGAAAAGTGCTCGAGCTGCAGGTTTCGACTCTTAAGTGCCGCGTGATCTGAGCCTTCCGAACTGGAGTTTCAATACGTCCAGGCCGGAGGTCTGGAACCTCTGGTAAGTGTCGCTGGAGGGAGTGTCCTCAAACGATGCGCCCGCTCGAGGTGTCGGCGAGCTGGCAGGCCGCATCGCCGCGGCGCTCGATGGCTTCGAGGACGAGGGAGCGCACTGGACTTGGGACTGGGACATGAAGCGTGCGCCCGGGCCCCAAACCGACCTCGCCCCGCGGGAAGAGGCAAGCCGCAACGAGCGGTTGTGGCAGCCCCCGTGATCATGCCACCCCGGGAGGGGAGGGCGGGGGAGAGGAAGCAGGGAGGCGGGAGGAGCGAGAGCGGGCGGGAGAGAGCGGGAGAGGGAGAGGGAAGCGGGAGGGGGATGGAGAGCGGGAGGGTGGGGGGAGAGCGTCGCGGAGCAGGGAGTGCGGGGGAGAGCGGGAGAATGGATGTTCGTGCCGGCCCGACGGACTTCTTATTCTTCTTCTTCCCGGCTTCCCCTCGTTGCCTTCTCCGGCAGCAAGGCGGTGGCACGGGCTCGGCAAGATGATGTGCCGACCGAGAGTGCATCTCTGAAGCAGTTCAGAGGCACTATGTAGTTCTGGTTTCTGGCCGCCAATACGTTTGATATCTGCAGCGCAGGTGTGGCTGATGTTGTCCGCAGCAAGCTTCACTGCATTCGAGACGACGCGAGGCGGTCCTTGGCAAGCAGGCTCGCCGACGAGTACGCGGCTACTGTGGTCACGGGAGTGCCAAAAGTGGAGTTGGACGAGCTAAGTTGGGGCACGTTTGAGGTACGTGGTCGGAGTGAGCAGATGTGGGAGAGCGTGCATCTCTCAAAGATGTTGTCGCATGTGATTGGTACGTTGACGTCTGCGTGCTATCTTCCACGTGAAGATTTTGCGCCTTGCCGCCTCGCCTCTCCCGTCTACGGTGACGATTGCGCCATCGTTGCCGCACACCGTGATCCATGCGGACCTGAATGACACCAACCTGCTATATTCTGATGGCCAGCTGACTGGCGTCTTGGATTTCGGCGATTCCATCTACAGGCATCGCCTTTATTTCATAGCATGAGTAGTGACAGACGGTTCATAGATCAGCGATCAGGGGCACGATCCGGGGACATCAGAGTTCGCCGGGGCCGGTGTTGATGCGGCAATGCGTTGCACTTCTAGTTCAGAGACGGTTGACAAACATATTGCTAATATGCCACCGCTTACGGTCATGAATTTTCCACCAGTTCTGGGCCATCACGTTTCTGAGCGACCCGCTAACCACTTGCCAGTCACCAAGCGTCAACGTCTCGAATGTGTCCCAGCCTCCCGCCCCGCAGAGCGGAGCGACACCCTATCGGCTCGCACGGGATAGCGTGTCACCGGAGCCGTCGCCGCGACACGCCACGCAAAACATCTTAGCAGCACGTCTATTGCGAAGGCCTTGCGGCTGATGCCGCCGACCCTGAAGGGGGACGATGACAAAGACAGTGACGATGAAAATACTCAAAACGCTAAGGAATGGGAGGGAGGAAGAGAGGGGGACGGAGGAGGTGAAGGGGAAGGGTAAGAGGATGGAGTAGGGAAGATAATTAGGAGGAGGAGGAGATCCTAGCAGCACGTCTTTTTCTCATTCGGTATCCTTGTTGCGATGCAAATGTCGTTCGGGTTGGTGCGACCACAGCAGGGCGGCCGCCATTAGTGTCGGGCTTTCCTGGTGGCCATGCCCGCTCCGTCTGTTTGGTGCAGGGCGAAACCAATCCGCGCCGAGCTGCACGGTGTTCGAGCCCGCCATCGCGGCGGGTTATCGTTTGTGCTGACGCTTATCCGCGCTTGGCGGCATTGGCCCTCCTTCGTAAGTGTATGGGTTTAAGCCGAGTGCTGTAGCCGCCTGCAGAAAGCAAGTGTTGAGGTGTTTTGGGAGGGGAACCCGTCGTATGTGTGTGCGTGTGTGCGTATGTGTGTGTGCGTGCGTGTGTGTGTGTGTGTGTGTGTGTGTGTGTGTGTGTGTGTTCGTCTGGCCTACCCTGCAATGGTTTTCTGCACGCCGACTCGCCTGGCGCAGACCACCATCTGCAACGTCAGGCGGAACTGAGGCTCAAACGCGCCCCGTTTCTAGCTCTCGCTACAGTGACGTCACTCGGTCAGTGAAGGAAAAAATGTGTGCGTGCGCCTGCGGTGTTTGTGGGTGTGCGGGTGGGCTCTAGCGCGCGTGTGTGTGTGTGTGTGTATGTGTGTATGTGTGTGCGTGTGTGGGACGGAGGGAAGGAGGAGAACGAGAAGGAGGGAGGGGATGAGGGACGGAGGGAGGGAGGGAGAGAGAGAGAGAGAGAGAGAGCGAGGGGATAACGTACGGGCGTGTTCGGCACGGAGGGAGAAACAGAGAGGGAGAGAGAAAACACATGATCAAAGAAAGAGAAATCCATAAAGAGGCAGATAGAGAAAAAGAGAGAGAGAGAGAGAGACAGAGCCCGACAGAGTACATGATATGGTTTGGGTGGGTATTTTCAAGTATGTGCATGCACATGCGCAGTGCACCCTGCCTTGTTCGTACTTGCTCGCGCTGGCCTGCACCGAACCATGGAGACCACGGCCTCTGCTCGAGTGCCTGCGTCCGACGTGGGTTTGCCAGTCGTTCCGCGTGTTACGCATATATGTGTGTGTGTGCGTGTGTGTGTGTGCGTGTGTGTGTGAATGTGTGCGTGTGTGTTCTCTGTCTCTCTTACTCATAGTACGCGTGTGTGCGTGTGTGTGTGTGCGTGTGTGTGTGTGTGTGCGTGTGCGTGTGCGTGTGCGTGTGCGTGTGCGTGTGCGTGTGCGTGTGCGTGTGCGTGTGCGTGTGCGTGTGTGTGTGCGTGTGCGTGTGCGTGTGCGTGTGCGTGTGCGTGCCTGTGTGTGGGTGTGTGTGTGCGTGTGCGTGTGTGTGTGTGTTTGCGTGTGTCTGTGTGAGGGTGAGAGAGAGAGAGAGAGTGAGTTGAGTGTGCGCGCTCCGTGAAGGGCTACAGTCCTGCCGCAGCTCGCCGCTGCTGCTGCCTCTCATCCTGCCGCCTGCCTTCCCCCGGGGCCTTACCCTGTCTACAGTCGCGTCCTCCTCCCGCGGCCCGCCTCGGCGGCCGCCGTCGCTGCGCCTCGCCAGTTCGCTCGTGCTGCGCACGGCTCCGCTTTTCCCCAGCCTCCCTCCTGCTTCCCCGTCTCTCCCGTCTCCTTCTCTTCCCCTCGCGCACAGTCGGGGCGCTGAAGAAGGAACCCTTTTCGTTTGGGAGGGGCTCGGTGTTCTTTGACTGTTTGACAGTTTGCCTCAGATTTTCCTGAGGTTCTTCCTGGGACATCGGAGTTTAACTTATTGGAACAAGGGGCCTCATTCCTTATTTGGAGTTCCTTAGGTCAACGCCCCGACTGTAGTCCCCCCCGCGAGCGGCACTGCCGACCCCCTGTGGGCGGACCCCTGTCCCCACGCCGCATGATCTGGGCCGGCCGCGCGCGCTTCTCCGCACGGCTTGCTCCGCCGCGACGCCAAGAGGTGTTTGTGTGTTTGTGTGCGTGTGCGTGTGCGTGTGTGTGTGTGTGTGTGTGTGTGTGTGTGTCTGTGTGTGTGTGCGTGTGCGTGTGCGTGTGCGTGTGCGTGTGCGTGTGCGTGTGCGTGTGTGTGTGTGTTTGTGTGTGTGTGTGTGCGTTTGCTTACGTGTCGAACGTGGGCCACTTGCGCGATCTTGGGGCAATTCTGAGGCCTCGGGTGCCCGTCGGAGTCCGGGATGGCAAGCGGCGAGAACTACTGGAGCACGTGAATTCAATTACTTGCGCACGTCGGGTATGTCTCTGCGAGGCTAGCGGGCCATCTGGCAGCCATATCGCAGTCATTTGTTTCATTTCTTGCGGCTGCATGTGGATTCAAGCTGGGGGATGCAAGGCACGGCGTCCGTTCCGAGATCAGATTTGTTTTCGTCCGGACGGTGGGCGGGATTTCCCCCGTAAGTGTCCCACGCGCTTTCGTCAACACGGTGCCATGGTGCTTGCTGTTGAGGGCCTTGGCCAGGTGAACAAAAAGGCAGACGAGGACGGGGTGAGTGCAAGTTGCGGCGTTCTGTCCGCCCCCCCCGCAACCCTCATGCATCCATCGCTCCCTCTTCTCCCCTCCCGTACTCCCCTTCTCCCTCGGTGGCCCTTCCCCTCGGAAGAATGGGAAGCGTGATGCGCAACTGTATGAGGGGATAGGCTCGGGGGGAGGCGCATCGACCCCCATCCCGAGGGAACCCTAACATGGATGAAGGCGCGTGTTGTCGCCAAATTTGGCGGCTCCAGCATCACAGTCTCTCCCCCTACGGCAAGACGGCACTCCCTACTCGCAGTTAGCATACGGCGTGGGCTACGTCTCGAGATGGACATAAGCCGAAGTGGGTCCACGGCAACACAAGGTTGCAAAGCCCGTCGTGGTTTCCTCACCCACAGGAGAGATCCCCCGCCGTGCCACAGATAGTACCACCACATGGCGACTCCTACTACGACGCGGAGGTCGTTATGTTATGCAGTGGATACGCGGTCATACAGGGCTCCCAAACCCGCCGTGGCTTCCTCACCCACACGAGAGTTCATAAGATGAGCCACACATCGCATCAGCACACGGCGGTGTTATGCAGTGGGTCCGCGGTGACACAGGGCTCCAAAACCCGCGGCGGCTATTTCACCCACCGCATGCATCATCCGACGTATGGGCATGTTTGTGGGTTTGCGGTCATACAGGGCTCCAGAAACCGCCGCAACATGTTCACCCACAGTGGCCAGGATCAACGCCAACTGATGCAGTCCGTTCGCGCGATACCCTGGTGTCATCTAAATGCCACCGCCGTGGGTCCTCGGAGGCACGCGACACGACGGACTGACCTTCAGCTTGGCCACTGAGAGCTCTCGCACAACCTCCAACCTCTCTCCCAGCCGCCCACTTTCTTTCCAGGTATGCTCGGGGGCCCCCAAACGGGGTGGTGACCACACCGGTTGATGAGTCGGTGGGGATTCGGGGTCACCGCACGGTTTTGGGACTCCGACCGAGGACGTCTCCGAAGACGTCTCGGGCGACTGGGGCATCCGAGGTCCTAAAACCGTGCGTACGGACCGTGCGGTGAGGTCTTTGGGGGATTTCGAGGTTATCGCACGGTCTGTCGCCGCACCGTTTCGGGACCCCAGATTTGCACATTGCCCGCCCCGCTGACCTTCACCTCCACCACCCTTGTGGAGCGGGACGGGGGGAACTTGCCCTGGGGGGGGGGGACACAAGGAACCGCGCCGGTGACTATCGTGGCGAAGGCCGCGGCGGCTGCAGGCAGCCGCATCGAAGCGGAGGAATCCTCAGTAAGAAATCTGTACGAAGGACTCGTGAACTAAGGGATGTTTAGCCGGGAAGTTTTAGCAAGGGGTCCGTGGTGAAGAATCCTCACTGAATCTACACTGAGGAGTCTTCCGTAAGGAACCCTGTAGTGAAGAATCTTTTGGAGCTCGCCCGCAGCAGCGTGCCTGTCGTACACCTGCACCTTCCTCGCTGCGCCCCATCTGCAGTTAAGTCGGGCCTGTCCCTCTACAGGGGGAAGATTCAAAAATAGTCAAAACAATAGTCTGTGGACGGTGTTTTGAGTATTTTGGGGCATTTGCGTGAAATATTTGTTGACTATTTTTTATTTGTCGTCCAAACTCCCCCTGTAGAAGGACAGGCCCGTCCTAAATCTACAGCAGGAACGCAACCGTCGGCAGTCATGGAGTTGACCCGGGCCCAGCTCGAAACAGAACCTGGGCTGCCGTAGTGTATGCTGTTCTTTTGTTATCCCAACCTACCCCTTCCTTAGGGGAACAAGCAATGGCATACATATACGACCACCCTTCGGGTGATAAGGAGGTTGTGAGGGGGGGAGAGGGGGGGAACCAACATCTGACTCAATCGATCTCACTATCGATCTCACTCAACGGGACACCACGGGACACTTGCCGATCTCACTATCGATCTCACTCAACGGGACACCACGGGACACCACGGGACACCGCGGGACACTCTCGATCTCATTATCGGTCTCACTATCGATCTCACTATCGATCTCACTCAGCGGGACACCACGGGACACCTCGGGACACCACATCGATTACACTATCGATCTCACTATCGATCTCATTCAACGGGACACCACGGGACACCACGGGACACCTGTCGATCCCACTATCGATCTCACTTTTTGGGACACCACGGGACACCTCGGGGCACCACATCGATCTCACTATCGATCTCACTATCGTCTCACTCAACGAGACACCACGGGACACCTGTCGATCTCACTATCGATCTCATTGTCGATCTCACTTTTTGGGACACCACGGGACACCTCAGGGCACCACATCGATCTGAGTATCGATCCCACTATCGATCTCACTATCGATCTCACTCAACGGGACACCACAGGACACTACGGGACACCACGGGACACCGCGGGACACCGTGAGCCACCGCCGGACGGACGGACGGACGGGCGGGCGGGGGAGAATCATTTGTCTTGACTTCGCCCTAGCAACGGCGGACACCACCGGACACCACGGGACACCGCGGGACACCGCCGGACGGGCGGGAGGGTGAGAATCATTTGTCTTTACTTCGCCCTAGCATCGGCGGGTTCATTCCTCTCGCGCGCCCACGCAGCTTCGCCTCGCCCGCACGCACGACACGAACGAAACGAAACGATTTCCCGATTGCGGGTCTCCTTTTCACTGCGACCTCACCCCCCAACCTCCGAAACATACAATCTCGGAGGTCCGCGCGGATTTCTCGGATCGGCGCAGAACCCCCCTCCCTGGCGCGCGGAGCGCGCCAGGGGCGGCGCCGGAGGCGCCGCCAAGGGTTTCCAGCGCCGATCCGAGAAATCTACGCGGACCTCCGAGTTGTTATGTCTATGTCATTGTTCGTTCCCCTATGTTATGCCAATCTACCCCTTCATGCAGAGTTGGCAGAGCTCTTTACCCGCCACTTGTTCCCACTCCTCTCATCAGTTGCCGTGCGCACCCGAGGCCGCGCGCCACGCGCGTGGTGCGCCAGCTCCCGCTCGCAGCTATTGACCCGGGTTTCTTCTGCAGCGGGCTACGCCCAACCAGAGTGCAACCGCATCTACTGCACAGAAGCAGCCACTGACCAAATGTTGCCACAGTGCAGCTGCAGTCCCTGCACTCTTTCCTACGCTCGCATTCGCAACCTCGCACCAGCCTCCGCGCCCCAAGCTCGCACTTTGCCAGCTCCCGCTCAGCTATGAGCGGGTTTCCTGCAGCGGGCTTCGCCCAACAAGATTGCACCCACATCTGCTGCGCAGACGAAGCTACTGACCAACTGTGTGGAGGCCTGGAAATGAGTACCAACACCAACAGGCGGGTATGCCTCAACCGGGGGAAGGTGATCATAGGATTCCGTGTTGGTGGTAATACGTCGGCCACCCAGGAAGCCAAAGTATTACCACCGTCACCGAGATCGGGAGCATCTCTCCTCGGTGAAGGCTCACCGCCGATATCGGTGTTGGTGTCAACCTCCAGGCCTCCAAAATGTTGCCACAATGCAGCAACAGTCCCAGCACTCTTTCCTACGCTCGCAGCATCGCGCCAGCCTCCGCGCCCCAAGCTGCAATTCTGCCCTCCGCGGCTGCTCGTAGCATAGCAACTGTGCTGCTGGGGGGTGGGTTCTTGATGGGATGACGGGTACGGGGGGAGGTTCGGAGGGAGGAGAAGCGATACCAACACCACCAGGGGGCCCACCTCCAGCGAGGAGGTCCACGATGCCTCCCCGAGCGAGAGGCTGGGGATGTCTCGAGCGAGGGGGGGGACCACACCACCAGGTAGACCCCCCTTGCCTCCGCGCATCTCCTCGCCCTGTTGGTGCTGGTGTCGCCTTTCCTTGTTCCTAGAGGTAGCCCCCTACGCAGGCACGGACACCGCCGCGAAAGGCACAAAAACGTCCCCCGCGCCCGGTGGAAACCGCCAGGCGGCCACCGGTCCCCCTCTCGGGAATCCGGCACCTGCTTCCGCGGGCGAGGGTCCCCCTCGGTGGGAGACCGCAGGCCGCCTGCGGGGCTTCCCATGGGGCACGGCTGGACGCCACTGCGCCTCCCCACCTTGGGCGAGGGTGGCCGCGGCCACGGTGCCTCTCGACCACCTGCCTCGCCCACTCCTGCTCTGCGCCGTGCCTTTCCCCCCCCTCCTTCAGTCCTCCCTTTCTCACAGGTTCGTCGGTGTCCTCCGTCGTCGCCGTTCGTCGCCCGCCCTCTCCGCCCCCCCTGGGGGCGTCGGAGGGCCCAGTTACTCCCCCCTCAGGGGAGTCCCTTTCCTATTCCTCCTCCTCCTCCTCCGCCTCCTCCTCCTCCTCCTCCTCCACCGTAGCCATTTTGGCTCTCGCCTGGTGCCAGGCCCCATAGCCGTTGGCTCGACGGGCGTGGGGCGCGAGCACGGGATGGCACGGGATGCGGCCCCTCCGCCGGTGGCCGCGCAATTCGGTGGCGATTCGTCTTCCTCTGCTCGTCGGCGGCGGCGGCAAGCTGGCCGTGTGTGGGCTCGCATGTCTGCGGATTGCGCTATCGGGCGCCTCGACCTTGCATTGCACGACGCTCGAGAACGTCATCAGCATCTTCTCGACGCCGTCGGGATGCTACTGGGTGGGGAGGCCGATCTTGCCGACCGCGTTTTGGCTGTCGTTCCGCATCTGCGGGCGCTGGTCTCGTCTTCGCCGAGTTCATGGGAGGATGTGCTGCGTCGGAACGTTGCTCTTCACGCCTCGGCCGACGGGATCAACGTCTCTACGGCTTCCACCCGCGAGCTCAGGGCAGCGCAGCGTGGGCCCAGGCTGGTTCGTGTCCGAGATGTTCCTGGAGGTGGTGTTTGCTCCAAGAACACCGAGCAGGAGACTGCTGGCGCCGCGGCGGCTGCTGATGGGATGACGGCGTCAGGGCGGTGCTCCGAGGTCGGGGCATGCAATGAGGACGGTGTCTTTCGCCTTCGGCTCGCTGATCTTCTTCCGCGTCTTGGGGAGGACGATTCGTGCAGCACGGCGTCGGGATCTTCCTCTACTGCCTCGGCGCCTTCTCTGGGTATCGTGCCCGAGGGATGGCTTCCTCGTGGAGGCGCGCCGCCGTCGCGGGGTTACCTTCGCGAACCGCTCCGCGCAGATCGGCTTCCTGTACCTCCGGTCTTCCGTCCTTTCCGTGGTGAAGGCGGTGGCGATGTTGCTGGTCGTCTTCCCGCCGCCATGGAGGCGGACAGCAGCGCTGGAGATGCTGCAGGCGGAGCTATTTTGCTCGCTGGAATTGATCCTCTTGTGCGTCGTGGCCTCCCTGCGGAAGCGGGCCAGCCTCTTTGGCATGGGCTCACTGGTGCTCCCGCTGGTGGCGGTCCCCTCCGAGGCGGTTCCTTGGTGCGTTTTCATAGTGACCCACGGCTGGTACCTCAAGAGGAATATTGGGAGTGCGTGTTGATGCCTGCCACGGACACGGTTGGCCTACCATGGTCGTGCCCAGGTGTCCACGCCCTCGAGTACGTGAAGCTCATCGGCGACCAGCGGCTCACTTGCCTTTCCTGCGACCTGCTCATGGATGGCATGGACGAAGACCCAGAGTCGCTCTTCGTGTGCTCGGAGTGCGGCTTGGTGTTCTGCGATACGTGCGCGCCTGAGGGCTGGCGAAGTTGGGCATTGGCCACATGACGCTCGACTTCACGGACCCGTATGTGCTCCTGTTCGTTGTGGTCTTCTTCGGTTTCGTGCTTGTGCAGGTCTTCACGGCAGGTGCACTCACGCTACGGGTGGCCTCACCCCACCACCCGTGAGTATGCTGGGGTAGCATTGCGTTGATGTAAAAAAATCCTCCTCCTCCTCCTCCTCCTCCTCCTCCTCCTCCTCCTCCTCCTACCCCTGTCGCGTAGCGCCCCACTTCACTTTTACAGCGTAGTTCGAGCCCCCCACTACCCCCAAGGGCAAGGGCCTATGGGTGGGGGGCGGCAGCGCTGGCACGACTCGTGTGCCACCAGCTCCCAGCTCCCAGGTGGAGGAGAAAGGTTGAGGAGGAAGAGGATGGGGATTAGGATCAGGAGGAGAGGAGGCGGAGGAGGAGAAGGAGGAATCAGTGAAGGAGAAGGGGGACGGGGAGGGGAGGGGGAGGGGAGGAGGAGGAGGAGAAGGAGTAGGAGGAGGAGGAGGAGGAGAAGGAGTAGGAGGAGGAGGAGGAGGAGGAGGAGGAGGGAGGGAGGAGGGAGGAGGAGGAGGAGAGGAGGAGGACGAGGATGAGTAGGGAGAGGGAGAGGGGAAGGGGCGCATATCCTCCCGTCTCATCACCCGCAAACCGTGGACGAGGGGGCAGGACGATGACGGGGAGGGGGGAGGGCAAAGGCGGTGAGGAGGAGTGAGGGGGCGGGGCGGGGGGGCGCGATGAGGATGAGGAAGAAGGACGATGTGAGTGTTCCCCCTCCCCCACCCCCTCCCATGCCGCCAGTGAAAGCAAGCCGACACCCCTCTCCCTCCCCCCTCGTCCACGATGCGCTGGCGGCATCGCAGGGGCTCGCGCTCTTCCCTCGTCGTGCGTCGCCTGCTGCCGCACCGGCATCGGTACCGCCCCGTTCAGACGTTCGCGCGCCCTCGCGCGCCCTTAACCCATCCGTCCTCCTTCGTCCCCTTGCCCGTCCTCCCTCCTCGCCAATCCTGCCGCGTCCCCACCCCTGCAGTTCCCTCGCCCCACGCCCTCCCGCGCGCTCTCTCCACCAGCCTGCGGGCGGTGGTCGCGGCTTACAGCCTGGGCCAGGAGGATCCCATGCAGGTGTTGTGCAGCGTGCTGCGGGGCTACGTGAGCGTGGCCCCTGTGGAGCTCTCTCGGCAAGAGCTCGAGGTCTCCCGGGAGAACGAGGGGCGAGGAGGAGGAGAAGGAGGATGAGATGAAGGTGGACGTGTGGTTGAGCAGACGGAGGAGTGCGATGATGGTTCCGTTGTTGATGGTGATGCCGACGATGATTTGGCTGGGAATGGCGACGAATATGATGTTGCTGATGATGATGACGTTGATGGTGATTATCAGCATTATTAGGATGAGGATGATGATGATGATGCTGATGATGTTTCTTCTTAGTATGATGAGGATGATGGTGCTGATGCTGATGATGATGCTTATGCTGATGAAGATGGTGCTAATGATGAGGATGACGATGATGCTGATGATGATGATAATACTGGTGGTGGTGATGGTGACGGATGTGGTGGTGATAATTTTCTTGATGATGATGATACTGTTGTTGTTGGTGGTGATGATGTTGACGATGATGACGGTGATGTTGATGTTGATGATGATGGTGGTGATGATGATGATGATGGTAGTGATGATGATGATGTTGATGATGTGGATGATGACGATGATGCTGATAATGTTGATGGTAATAATGATGTTGATGGTGATGATGATGATGATGATGATGATGATGATGACCATGATGATCAGGATCATCACGATAAAGATGACAATGATGGTGGTAATGCTGCTGATGATGATACTGCTGCTGCTGGTGATGATGATGTTGATGATGATGTTGATGATGAGGAGGATGAGGATGTCGGTGATGCTGATGTTGATGATGATGCTGGTGATGATGATGATGATGATGATGATGATGATGAGGGTGTTGATGATGATGATGTTGATGATGCTGATGATGCCGATGGTGATGCTGATAATGCTGTTGGTGATCATGATGTTGATGGTCATGATGATGGTGATGATGACCATGATGATCAGGATCATCATGATGAAGATGACATTGATGCTGGTGCTGATGATAGTGATGATGCTGGTGGTCTTGATCATGGCGATGGTGCTACTCACCGTGATGGTGATGACGGTGTGGTTACTGACATACATATGGACCACAATGTTGGCGATGGTGTTGATGATGATGGTGATGATGCCGATGATGATGCGTATGATGGTGATGCTGATGATGTTGATGATGATGCTGATGATCATGACGGTGATGACGACGGCGATGATGATGATGATGATGTTGATGATGATGATGACGGTGATATTGATGTTGACTATGATGATGATGATGATGATGATGATGATGATGATGATGATGGTTGTGATGATGGTGTTGATGGTGATGATGTCGATGATGTTGATGATGACGATGATGAGGATGATAATGCTGATTGTGATGATGATGTTGATGGTGATGATGATGATGATGGTGATGATGACCATGACGATCAGGATCATCACGATGAAGATGACATTCATGCTGGTGCTGGTGATGGTGATGATGCTGATGGTCATGATGATGGCGATGGCGTTGTTCACCGTGCTGGTGATGACGGTGTGGTTACTGATATACATATGGACCACAATGCTGGAGTTGATCATGGTGATGATGATGCCGATGCTGATGCGTAGGATGGTGATGATCATGATGATGCTGCTGATGATGATGATGATGACGGCGATGACGACTGCGATGATGATGATGATGATGATGATGATGATGATGTGGATGGTGATGATGCTGATGATGAGATTGCTGACGATGTTGATGACGTTGACGATGCCGATGACGATGATGATGATGATGATGCTGATGATGATGATGATGATGATGATGATTATGCTGGTTATGATGATGATTCGGATGATGATGCTGATAATGATGCTGATGATACCGACGATGCTGATTGAGATGATGATGACGATGATGATGGTGATGATAAGCATGCTGCTACTGATGATGATGCTAATGAGGATGCTGATGTTGTTGATGATGACGACGAGGAGGAAGAGTAGGAGGATGAAGTTGCTGTTGCTGCTGCTGCTGCTGATGATGATGATGATCATGATGTTGGTGGTGAAGCTGCTGATGAGGATGAGGATGAGGATAAGGATCAGAGTAATGATGATGGCGACGAGGAGGAGGAGGCGGTGGAGCAGGTGGAGGAGGGACGAGGAAAGTCATGGACGAGGAGGGACTCGTAGGTGGAAAATGAAGGTGGGCAAGGAATTAACTGGAGGAGGGGCAAGGCGGAGGCGGAGGTAGCCGTTCCTTTCCTTGCCCTCCTCCTCTACCTCCTCGATTACGTATTCCATCCTCGTCTTGTTCTGGATTGCTCGACTACTCCTCCCTCTCTTTCTCCTCCCCCTTCTCCTCGACTCCTCCTCCTCCTCGTCCGTGTTCTTCTCCATCTGCTCTCACCGATGATCCTCCGTCCTCCTCCTTCTCTCCCTCTCTCTCTTCCCTCCGTCCGATGGCTCAGGCCATGGTGGCTCGAGGCCGTGTCGGTGGCCCCCCCCCGCCGCCTCGGGGCTCACGAGGCAGCCAAGTCAGAGCTCCGAGGAGGCGCCTGCCCGCCCTGCGTGCTGGCGTGCGCGTCTGCTTGTATGCTGTCGCCGGCGACGTTTCCATCCCACCCCTCCTCCTCCTCCTCCTCCTCCTCCTCCTCCTCCTCCTCCTCCTCCTCCTCCTCCTCCTCCTCCTCCTCCTCCTCCTCCTCCTCCCCCCCGACCTTTCGGCGAAACATTCCGCCGCTCGGAGAAGGAGGGACACCCTGGGAGATACACCCCCAGGGGCTCTCTTCGGGCGCGCCCCTGGCGAGGAGGGGCGCCCCCCCTCGCATATATCCCAGGGCTGGGCCCCACATTTCTGGCCCATACGAAGGCCCCACGAAGCTCGGGATGGGGGTGGAGGAGGAGGACGAGGAGGAGGGGGAGGAGGAAAGAAGGAGGAGGAGGAGGAGGAGAAGGAGCAGGAGGAGCAGGAGGAAAAGGGGGAGGAGGAGGAGGAGGAGGAGGAGGAGGAGGAGGAGGAGGAGGAGGAGGAGGAGGAGGGGGAGGAGGGGGATGTCCCCTGTCATTCTGCCTGCCGCCGCTGCTCCGCGCCAGCACGCGCGGCAGCAGGCCGCCACGACGGCCGCTGGCGGCGCGCCGGCTCGCGGCGGAGCACAGGGTGCGCGTCGTCGATCCCGGCGTGGTGTCGTTTCGGTGTGCCGGCGCAGCAGGCCATGCAAGAGTCGTGCAGTGGGACGCGCCGCGCGACGGAGCATCACGCGGCGCTGCTGGGATGTCGGAGCTACTGCTCTGAATCTCTCGGCGAGCTCTCGCTGCTTGCAAGTGCGCACGGCATCCAAGGCCAGCAAAAAACGATTATGAATCGCAGAGGGACGAGCCCGAGAGGGGAATCGAGGCGCTCCCGCAGCACGCTCGGACCTATGTGCCCACAGAGGCTGGGCGGCTCCCGCATGCTCGATTCACGACCTGAGCTGGCCGTCCGCGAAGACAGTGTCAAGGGGAAGGCTGGTGTGAGCCGGCGGGAAGTCGGACCCGACTGCGCGGTGGGAACAGGGGCGTCGTGCAACCCGAAAAAATAAGAACGCCATAAACATAAACTTTGGGCGCTCCGCGCGGATTTCTGGGATCCGCGCTGGAGCCCCGATCCAAGAAGTCCGCGCGGAGCGTCAAAAGAGTTTCTGTTCGTGGCGTTTTGCTCTTCTTCTTCTGGTGAAGGGGTGTGGCAAGTTGTGCAGAGGGGGATCAGGCGATGCCATCCTCCGAAGCTAACGTAGCCATGCCCACGATTGGCCCCACGCCCCTTTCTGCCACACCACTCTCTCCGACCTCCGCAGCCCCCCCCCCCGGCGTGCACCCGGACGTGCCCGGGGCCGTGGCGCGCGGCGAGGCAGGCGGCCAGGCCGCCCCCGTGTCTCCTCCGCTTGGCAGGCGAGCGACGCAAGAAGCGGGGTCGTCTGCGCCGACATTGGCGCGTAAGCTCGGGGAACGAACAACGACACAAACATAATAGCTCGGAGGTCCGCGCGGATTTCTCGGATCGGCGCTGGGGCCCCCTGGCGGCGCCTCGGGCGCCGCCCCTGGCGCGCTCCGCGCGCCAAGGAGGGAGGGTACAGCGCGGATCCAAGAAATCCGCGCGGAGGTCTGAGTTTTTGTTATGCTTCTGTCATGTCTCTTCCCCCCAAAAGCTGCCCGCGTAAGGTTGCGCGTAAGCGCCTTCGCTTCAGGTGTGGCGTGTCGCGCGGGCGGCCTGCGTCAGCCACCGCGCAAGGTCGCCTTACACCGTCTCGCGCAAGACCCGTTTTTCCCCAACCACCCTGTGGTGTTCGGTCCTCGTTTTGAAGAGATTGCGCCCCGCGTCTCCTCCTCCTTCCTTCCCTCCTCCTCCCTCCTCCCCCTCCCTCCCGCCTCCCCGCGTTTCACCCACCCATTACAGCGCTTCGTAGCCCCACAGGGAGCTCCACCGAATGCTCCAGTGCCACCGCCCGCATGCGTCACCCACACCCATGTCGGCACACCTCTCACACGTTTCGTGGCCCATAGGGAGCTCCACTGAAGGCCACAGTGCCACCGTCCGCACGCGTCATCCACACCCATTTCGGCATACCCCTCTCACGTTTCGTTGCCCCATAGTGAGCTCCACCGAAGGCCCCGTGCCACCGTCCGCATGCGTCACCCACGGCCATTTCGGCACACCCCTCACACGCTTCGTGGCCCCATAGGGAGCTCCACCCCCGCATGCGCCACCCACACCCATTTCGCCGCACCCCTCACACGTGTCGTGGCCCCATCATGAGCTCCACCGAAGGCCCCAGTGCCACCGCCCGCATACGTCACCCGCACCCATGTCGTCACACCCTTCGCACGCTTCGTGTCCCCATAAGGAGTTCCACCGAAGGCCACGGTGCCACCGCCCGCATGCGTCACCCACACACATGTCGTCACACCCCTCACACGCTTCGTGGCCCCATCGGGAGTTCCACCGAAGGCCCCAGTGCCAGCGCCCGCATGCGTCACCCACACCCATTTCGGAGCTCCACTGAAGGCCCTAGTGCCACCGTCCGCATACGTCACCCGCGCCCATGTCGGCACACCAATCACACGTTTCGTGGCCCCATCGGGAGTTCCACCGAAGGCCCCAGTGCCACCGCCCGCATGCGTCACCCACACCCATGTCATCACACCCCTCACACGTTTCGTGGCCCCATTGGGAGTTTCAACGAAGGCCCCGGTGCCACCGTCCGCATGCGTCACCCACACCCATTTCTGGCGCACCCGTCACACGGTTCGTGACCCCCAGGGAGCTCCACTGAAGGCGCCAGTGCCACCGCCCGCATACGTCACCCGCACCCATTTCGTCACACCGCTCACACGTTTCGTGGCCCCATAGGGAGCTCCAACGAAGGCCACGGTGCCACCGCCCGCATACGTCACCCACACCCATGTCGCCACACCCCTCACACGCTTCGTGGCCCCATAATGAGCTCCACCGAAGGCCCTAGTGCCACCGCCCGCATACGTCACCCACACCCATTTCGTCACACCTTTCGCACGCTTCGTGCGCCCATAGGGAGCTCCACCGAAGGCTCCAGTGCCACCGCCCGCATGCGTCACCCACACACATTTCGGCACATCACTCACACGCTTCGTGGCCCCATAAGGAGCTCCACCGAAGGCCCTAGTGCCACCGTCCGCATACGTCACCCACGCCCATGTCGGCACACCAATCACACGTTTCGTGGCCCCATCGGGAGTTCCACCGAAGGCCCCGTGCCACCGCCCTCATGCGTCACCCACACCCATGTCGTCACACCCCTCACACGTTTCGTGGCCCCATAGGGAGCTCCGCCGAAGGCCCCGGTGCCACCGCCCGCATGCGTCACCCACACACATTCCGGTACACCTCTCACGCGTTTTGTGGCCTCATAGGGGGCTCCACCGAAGACGCCAGTGGCTGCGTTCACATGCGCCCACCGCACCCATTTCCGCACACCCCGCACGCGTTGCGTGGCCACATAGGGAATTCCACTCATCACACCACTCACACGTTTCGTGGCCTTATAGGGAGCTCCTCCGAATGCGGTGCATACAACGACGTTATTATCAACGGCATATGGAGGAGGCAGGTTGGAGGAGGAGGCAGGTTGGAGGAGGAGGAGGTGAAGCAGCAGGGGGAAGAGCAGGACAGAGGAGGATGAGGAGGGGGAGCAGGAGGAGGAGGAGGAGGGGGAGGAGGAGGGACCAGAGTAAACCCAAGATGCATCAACGATGCTGCAATACAGAACCTCCCCTCCGAGTCTCCTTCTCTCATGCGTCCTTGCAAGTTTCCCTCTTCGTTTCCAGAGGAGCCCCGCGCTTACAAGACCTGCGCAGGTGGGCCTGCCGTGTCTTGGCGAAGGACCCGCTATGAAAAGGAAATGTCTGGCATCACTACCCATCGGTCGTTGAAAGTAGGTATTTGGGGATTCCCTGATTCTAATATACTTTGAGCGCCTTCCTACTTCAATGAGCGAGTGGCTTCACCTTTTCCGTCCTCTTTAGAGGGCGGGCGGACACCCAATCTGTTTTCGACGCCTTCCTACTTCATACTTCTTTCTACCTACGTCTTCCGACCAATAAGTAGTGTGCGTAATCGGGAACGCGCCAAACTATTATCATGCAATGCAGTGGGATGCCCAGCGAGATCCCCCGTTCGGAGCAGGACCGCTCTCCATCCGTGGTTAATTGTTGCGCATGTGCACTCGTCGCCAGGAATCGTGTGGAAGTCTCAAGCGAGAGAGCTCTATTTCGAAAGCGAGCCGCCCTGGATCCGTCCCAATTGTTTGCGATTCGGGAACCCTCGAGCGAGAACCTCAGATTGAAAAAAAGGAAACTCCTCCATCCGCCGTAGTGGTGCATTACATGAACGGATATGCGCGGCATTAGGGCCAGAGCGCAATGTTGAAAATGATGTATGCTCATCCCCAGCGAAAGTACGCGGCGTTAAGGCGAGAGCACAACTTTGAACAGGAACCACTACCCTTCAATATAGCGCAACCCTAAAAGACGAATGCGTGCGGCATTGAGGCGTGAACGTTTTTTGAAACGGTCCCCTTTCCGTCCTTGAAATTGCTGCACGTTTATGACGAACGTGCGCAGTGCTGAGGCGCGAGCCACATTCTGAACATGGTTTTGTGATTCATTGCTGTGCCTGTAGCAAGGTTTTGGAACTCATATGTGCTGCGCTACGTTTCGGTTTTTTGTTGACACGACGTTCGTTTCGTGTTTGAAGTTGTTGCGAACTTTGAAGGCACGTGTGCGAGGCGTTCAGGCGAGAGCGTGTACTTTTTGCAGACGCATGTGCGCGGTGATCGGCTCATTTTGAAAACGACTTATAATCCATTCTCGGAATTGCTTCAAACATGTACGACAGATGTGTGCGGCGCGAAGGCGAAAACCACATGGTGAAATCCACCCCGCTCCATCCTTGGAGTTGCTGCAAACTTTTAGGTCGAATGTGCGCGGCGCTCACGCGAGAGCCACATGTTTGAAGCCGACCTGTGCTCCATCTTTGAAGCTGTTGTAGAAGTTTATGACGAATGCGCGCGGCGCTAAGCCGTTGTGGCGAGAGCCACAATCGAAGATGATTTGCGGTCCGTCCTTACAATTGCTCCAGTTTCGAAGCGTCAGGATTATGGTGAGGAAGTCTCAGGCGGAGTGCCTGGCCCGTCGTACCGCCGCGTTTGGGTGATGCAGAGGGAGGAGTTACTTACAAGGAAAGGGGATGGTGGATGCAACATGAGGATCAACGAAGAGTGCCGGAAGGGGAGGGCTTGCGCTTGCAAGTCGCAGGATGTGCTGCAGCAGATGAGACACCACCGCTTCACAATTGAGGAGGAAGAGGGAGGGAAAAGCGGGGACGAGGGTGGAGGGGGTGTCGGAGGAGGGAGGGAGGAGGGAAGGGGCATGGGGAGAGCAGGAATGGAGGAGGGAGGAGGCTGCCCTCCAGGAGGCTGGAAGGAGGAGGTGCGGGATGGGGGAGGAGGAGGTTGAGGGGAGAAAGGGGAAGTGCCAGAGGAGGAGGGAGACAGAACAAGTCTTGTTTCTTGTTGTTGTTCGTTCTTTGTTTTTGTTGGTTTTGAGATGTTTCTATTCTTGTTTCTGTGGCCGCGAGAGCCCCGAGGTCTTCTTCCAGGCCGCGCGCGGCCGGGTGCTCCTGTCGGTGGCCTTCGCCGCCGAGAACATGGCGCTCGAGCCCGACAACGAGTACCTCGCCCACACCTCCGAGCCCGGGTGGGCGGTGCTGCAGGACCCCCCTTCGTTTCCGCGGCGCCTCGGCCGGGCTTCCCTGACCTCAGCAGTGGCGAGGCGCCCCGGCTTGCCTCGAGGCCCACCAAAGAATGCTCTGAGAGCCTGGTGTGGTTTGCACGACGTGTTCTCAGAACATTATATCTGGCCGAGACCGTCGTGTTTTAACACGTCTGGCTCATGTTCAGAGAGCTCTGTTTTCGTTCTCAGAGCATCTTCGGGTTCTGAGAACATGTCGCGGCAGGCCTATAGGAATGCCGGGACAGTCTGTCCTTGCTCAACTACAGCTCGGGGCCTGGGGCCTGCAGAGGGCAACCAAGGGCTTGTTGGGCTCGGGAGGCGCCGTTGCGTTGCACCTCCGGGGGGCCTCGCCTTTCCCCCAAAGTGGTGCCTTTCTCGTGCCCGACGCGGACTCGATGCGGAGTCGACGAGGATTCGGCGTGGATTCGACGCGGAGTCCACCCCGATTCGGCACAGATCCGACGAGCCCGGCACGGATTCGACACGGATTCGACGCGGATAGGGCCGCGACGGGACAGGCAGGGTCGCCCGAGGATGCAACATAAGAGTTGTGTGTTTTTGTGGCCGTTCCTTAGACCCAGGCCGGGGAACCTTCTGCGTGGCCGAGGCACGCTCTGGCTTAAGTCGGGTCTGTACTGTGCCTTTACAGGAGGGATATTCAGAAATGGTCTTGAAAAAGTATGGGGTCGACTTGTTGTCTTTTTCTGTGATTTGTTTTGTATGTTTTTGACTATGTTTTTATATTTGTCGTCCAACATCCCCCTGTAGCAGGACATTCACCTTATGGTAGCACGATGGTTGTGCGCATGCGGACGGCAGGGTCGAGAGAAGTCGGCCGAGATCCGACGCCGTGGCAGATCTCTCGAAGTTGGTGCAGGATCCGCCCCGAGCTCTCGACCTGCCCGTTTGCAAGGGCGCCCTCGAGGGCGCGAAGCTATTCGCGCTTCGCGCCTCGCGGTCCGGCTCCGATTCCTCCTCATCCTCCTCTTCGCCCCTGGGAGGCGGCGCGAGAGCGCGAAGTTATTCGCGCAGCGCGCAGCGCGAAGCGCGAAGTTGGGAGCCCTTGTAGGGGGCCCACGTGCGCACCCTACCCCTACCCCCCACGACTTCTGGGGGGGAGGGTGGGGTTCACTTCGCTCGGGAGCTCCCGAACGAAGTGGATCCCACCCTCCCCCTCGGAAATCGTCGGGGGTAGGGGTAGGGTGCGCACGTCCCGGGGCCCGCCGCGCGGGCGGGCGCCCCGTGGCCTGTCCTGCCCGCGCACGGCGCCTCGGGGGTTCTGCGGGGGTGGGGACCTGGGGGGCGCAGGAACGACGGCCCAGAGGGCAGGGGGCATCGACGGGCGTGTGCGTTTTTGCCTCGGCGAGGACCCTCGAGGAGCATCCCTGATAGCATTTGGCGAAAAAGCCACGCACGAAGCCGAACAAAAACACAGGGGATGGACGTCCGAGCGAGGGCCAGAGCGGTGCCGCCGCGGCCGCCGTCGCCTTGCAGAGGCGCCGCCGGCGTCGGGTGCCCAGGGCGGCACGCGGCGGTGCCCCCGCGGCGGCCAGGCGCAGACAGCGTCGATTCCCCGGGAACGTATGGGAAAATATGGGAAGTGGGGGGGAAGGCAGAAACCCAGAAACTATGGGAGAACATGGGGGATCCTGTCAGTTGTGTGTGTGTGTGCTTTCTTGTGTGTCCCGGGGCCCCTTCGTGTGTCTCCCTCTCCCTCTCCTTCTTCCTCTCTCTCTCTCTCTCTGCTTCCCCCTTGGGGCGAGGTCGCATAATGATGAGCTGCATGAGCACAAACTTTCGGAGGTCCGCACGGACTGCTTGAATTTTCCTCCGACCCCATCGCGGAGCTCCGGAAGTTTATGCGTATGCCTGTTTGCCGATCCCTAGCGCATCAGCTCACGACGCCACCCTGGACAAGGATGGGGCAGCACGCTGGCGGCGTCGGCGTTCGCGCCACGTCTCATCGAGCCCCCTCGGGCAGGATACTGGAGGATGACGATGAATAAATGACCGGGGGTCGTGTTCACGCGGCGGCGCCTGGGATGACGATTAGAAAAAACCGGCCGCGGGCTGGAAAACTATTGTTTTAATCGTTTTCCCCTAGTCAGAAAATTATGCAGAAATCGCAGACAACTATTTTTTAATCGTTCTCTCCCATTTTTTATTAATCGTCATCCCGCATTACTACCCCTCTCACCCATCTCTTCCAACTGCGCTGCTTTCAGCAGGACGCCGAGGAGAAGGATGAGCAGGAGGAGGACAGACGACGCTGATGGAGGGGGGGTGGAGGGAGGGGAGGAGGGAAAGAGGGAGGGGAGAAGACAGAGGGAGGGGAGGAAAGAGGGGGGGCAGGGAGGGGAGGAAAGAGGGGGGGGGAAGGAAGGGGGGGGAAGCGAGCTCGGTCGCCTGCCGCACCTGCGGCTTTGCTGCAGCTCGCCGCTGATTGAAGGGCAGTGATTGCGCAGCTAGCTTCAAGTCGGGCCTGTCCCTCTACAGGGGGGATATTCAAGAATAGTCGAAAACTAGTCTGGGGACGATGTTTCGACTAGGTTTGGCTATGTTTGGCTATTTTCTTGGCTCGGGTTTTTCATCCCAAATCCCCTTGCGGGAGGACATGCCCGACCTAACGCTAGCTTAACGGAGGCCGTGCCCAGATTCGGCCGCAGAAGGGGTGCGGTTCTGAGTTAGCGTTGCATTGAGTTGTGGCGCTTCCTGGGAAGACGAAGAACAGATCAAATGGGTTGGACGATGCGAAGAAGAGGGAGGCGATGGATGGGCAGGGGGGAGTTGGAGGGGAAGATTGTTGGAATATTATGCGTTGTTGCCCGCCGCACCCCTCGTGGGCGCCTCGGCGCGGGCTCTGTCTGTCTGTCTGTCTGTTATGCGTCGTTGCCCGTCTTGTTGTAGCAGAGTCTGCGCATACTGTTGCAGTTGGCATCTAGGATCTGCTAGGATTGCCCCCACTCGACCTCCACTTGCTTCCCAAGGTGTTCTCTACGGAGTCGCGCCGCGGAATCTCATTCAAAAAACAACGCGCCGAGAAGCTGGGCAACGTGGACGCTGCTGTGGCACTTTCGGCACTCAGCGACGCAATAGGAGGGGTCTCGCGTATGTGAAAATTGCACACCCATTATCGGCATTCGCTAACGCTTGTTGATGTCATCATGGTCGTAACAGCAATTATGGTACATGCGCCACCATGTCAAGCCGACGCTGCCATTGTGATATTCGGGTCTGAGTGTTGAACTATGCTTGGCTAGTGTGGAGCATGCCATTTATGATGTAGCAGTTGTTAACCATGTTACTTGAATTGTGTGTCGAGCCGCCTGCATCGATTGCCAATACGGTGGAGCGCCCAACATGCGGTGTGCTGTTGTCGCTGCAAGCTCACTCCATCTCGTCACTAGCGGCGCATGCCTCGTTGAGCACATGGTTGTTGTCGTAAGGGTTGCGCTAGGCAAGGTGCACATGATACAATTGCAAATCATGCCATATTTCCTTAAGGAATCGAGCGGGAGGGGTGTGGGATTGGTGGGTGGGACGATTGGGGAGGAGTTGGATGAGCATGATGAGACGGCGTGGGCTGCGCAGGAGGTTCAGAAGGAGCAAGCAAGTTGTGCGGAGGTGAACGAGGACGGTGTAGCATGGCGAGCAGCGAGAGGAAGATATGGAAAGGTTGAGCAGCAGGAGGGGAACGGTGAGGAAGATGACCGAGAAGGACAGAAGACGAGAGGGATCGAAGAGGGCATAGGAGGAGCCGACTCCAGTCTCCTCTCCCCTTTGCCCGCCTTCCTCCCCCCCCTCCCCCTGCCTCCCTCCTTCCCCTCCCCTTCCCCTCCCTCCTTCCCTCCTTCCGCTTCCTCTATCCCTCCTTTCCCCGCCCTTCTCTCCCCACCCATCCCCTTCCCCTCCTTCCCCATCCCTCCTTCCCCTTCCCTCCTTCCCCCTGCCTCCCCTCCTTCCCCTCCTTCTCCTGCCTCCCTCCCTCCCCTCCTTTCACACCGCCAGCCCGTGAAATGTCAACTGGGCCGCGGAAGACCGCGCGGCTTGAGCAACACGACTTGGCCTGTGTCAGGTCCGATTCGTGTTCAAGCGTGAGGGACACAGCCCCTCTGTGTCAGCCAGCCCCCGTTTGGGCACGCCCACTACGTTTGGGCTCGTCGTTAGGGGGTCTCCTTCGACACGTGCAGACCCCTTACGACGAGCCCCTTGTTCCTCTCCCCCTTGGCGGTCGTGGGCGCCACCGTCGTCGCTCCCCGTGTCGTCGGTGTCGTCGTGGTCGTCGTCGTGGTCGTCGTCACACGGACGGGGCCAGGACGGGGATCAATCCGTCCCGGAACGCTCTGAGAGGGCCGCAGCGCCCGCCGGGACATCCTCCGGAACCGCCAGATCTCCGAGGTTCTTTATATTTATCTTCACCCGACGTTATATCTTCGTTTTGGCTTCGTCTCGTCGTGGTCGTCGTGCACCCTCGTCAAGAATACACTGAGGGATTCTGTGTTCGGTGATTATATGGTCAGCGCTACTCCAATGCTGACGCTAGGTATCTGACGTGGGCGCAAGGGCTTCAAAAAACCGACGACCCCTCCGCAGCATTGAAGAACGCAATTTCTATCAAGTGCCCGAGAAGGTCGATCGTCGTGATTTCCAACTGGGTTGTAGTGGTCGTCGTCGCGGTCGTCGTCGTCACCGCGGTCTTCGTCTCCGTGGCAGTCGTGGTCGGCACCGCTCGCGCCGTCGGGGTCGTCGGCGTCGTCCCTCCAGCTACTGACGGAGCGACGCGCCCCGCCCAGGGACCGCACGGCCCCGTGCAGGCGCGCGGCGGGGAGGGTCGGTCGGAGTGCGACCGTCAGGAGGTCGAGACAAAGAGAGAGAGAGAGAGAGAGAGAGACAAAGAGAGACAGAGACCGAGGGACAGAGATAGACGGAGAGACAGAGAGAGAGGGAGGGAGCGAACAAAAAGACAGAGAGAGAGGGGCAACACAGCACTTTACACGAGAGAGAGGGCCGGGGAGGAAGGCGAGGAGGAGGGGGAGGAGAAAGACATTGAGGCGGAGGGGGGCATGTTCAGGAGGAGGTTGGGGAGGAGGAGGGAGGAAGAGGGAAGACGAGACGGCGGCGGAGGAGGAGGAGGAGGTAGGAGGGTGAGGCCGAGGACGGAGGAGGATGGAGAAGGCGGAGGAGAAGCAGAGTCCAGCTGGAGTGCCCCAGAGGAGAGGCGGAGGGAGAAAAGGGAGACCCAGGAGGACGAGGACGAGAAGGAGGAGCAGGAGGAGGAGGAAGAGGAGGAGGAGGAGGAGGAGGAGGAGGAGATGGAGAAGGCACCCAGGAGCCAAGGCATAGGCATGGGCGAAGGGCATGGGGGCCAAGGCGAAGCCGTAGCCACTCGCAGGGGCGCGAAGGCGGCCAGCGGACTCCACGCGTCGGCCTGGCTTGGGGAGGCAGTCCTCGTCCGGGGGGGGGGGGGGGCGCCGCCCCCCTCCCCAAGAAAGCCACGTCGGGTGCGGCGCGGCGCGGCGCGCAGAGCTGAGGTGCCCCGAGAGCGTGGGAGGAGGAGGGCAGCGGGAGGGGATGGAGGAGGAGGAGGAGGAGGAGGAGGAGGATGAGGAGGAGGAGGAGGAGGAGGAGGGAAGAGGGAGGAAAAGGAGTAGCATGAGGATGGCCTGGGCTGACAGTGGGACTTGAGATATAGACGTGCCCACAGGGGCGCCCGGAAGAAGCAGGGCGAGGTTCTAAGCAGGACCCGGGCGAAGGTGGACGAGGGGTCGGAGGAGGGGGACAGAGGAGGCGGAGGAGGGGAAGGAGGAGGAGAGACGAGGAGAGACGAGGAGGAGGAGGAGGAGGAGGAGGAGGAGGAGGAGGAGGAGGAGGAGAAGGCGGGGGAAGGATGAGGCGGAGGAGGGGAACGGAGGGGAACAGAGGCACGCGAGGAGGAGAACGCAGGAGGACTGAGGCGTGCGTGCATCAATCGACGTAGGACTCCTAGATGGGGTCCGAGTAGATGAGGTCGGAGGATCGCGCCGCATCGCCGAGGCATCGACGATGCGGCTCGATGTGGAGCCCGACTTTCTCCACGCCGTTGTCGCCGACTTCGCCAGTGCATCGCCAATGCATTGCCGATGCATCGCCGATGCATCGGCGATGCAGCGATACAGTCGGGACGCTGAAGAAGGAACCCTTTTCATTGGGGAGGGGCTCCGTGTTCCTTAATTGTTTCGCAGCTTGCCTTAGGTTTTCCTTAGGTTTTCGATATGAAACCGAAGTTTAACTTCTGGAAAATAGGGGCCTCGTTCCTTATTTAGGGTTCCTTAGGTCAACGCCCCGACTGGATCCTCCGACCCCATCTACTCGGACCCCGTCGAGGAGGCCTCTAGTCAAGCTGTCGCACAGCTGCCCAGAGCTGCGCGCCTCCCCTCCTGCGCCCCCGGGTGCCGTGCGCCGTGCGGTGCAGGTCCCGCTCCAAAGGGGGGAGCTGCAGGAGGGCGCGGGAGCGCGGTGGCGGAGGAAGGTCCAGGAGGATGGAGGCTGGATGGAGCAGGGAGGTTGGCGACAACGGAGGACGAGGAGGAGGAAGAGGAGGAGGCGGAGGCGGAGGCGGAGGCGGAGGAGGAGGAGGAGGAGGAGGAGGAGGAGGAGGAGGAGGAGGAGGAGTGACGAGGAGGCGGAAGAGGGTGAGGGGGAGAGGGAGGAGGAGGAGGAGGAGGAGGAGGAGGAGGAGGAGGAGAGGAGAGAGAAGGAGAGAGACGATGAGGAGGAGAGACGAGGAGGAGGAGAGACGAGGAGGAGGAGAGACGAGGAGGAGGAGGAGGAGGAGGAGGAGGAGGAGGAGGAGGAAGAGGAGGAGCAGGAGCAGGAGGAGCAGGAGGAAGGGACCCACGAGGAGGAGGAGGAGGAGGAGGAGGAGGAGGATTAACTAGGGTCTTGGGGGAGGGGTAACCTTCCTCGCTTTCTACTGCTGCCTCCGTCCTCCCCCTGCTCCCTCCTCCCCTCCCTTCCTTGTAATTCTTTGCTGGACCTGGATCTTCGGGCCCATTGCGATCCGCAATATGAAATCCCTCCTTTTACCGCCTCCTCCTTCGCTCCCTCCGTCCCTCCATTTTCCCTCCCTCCTCCCTCTTACCACCCCCTGGATTAAAAAGTTGTGACCGGCACTACGCGAGAGAGCGATCCCCGCGGGTTTCGCCGGTCGACTGGCCCTCGAGCCTCCACTATCGATCAACCGAGATGATTCCAAGGCAGGCCCGTGAACCGAATGACGGAACGGCTCCGCAGGGCGTGGAGCTCTGCAGCACAAAGTTATGGAAATCATCGCACACGAAATCTTTGTCTTCTGGCGGCATGGAAGGCAACCTGAAAGTGCTGTTTGAGGACGTCTTAAGCGAAACGACCACTCTCAAGCGGCATGAACATCGATCTGAAACTTTTTGTGAGGAAGTCCTGGGCGAAATCGCCACTCTCAGACGGCATGGGAGAATTTCAGATCGCCCTGGAAGGCGATCTGAATTTTTGTTTGAGGAAATCCTAGGCGGAATACCACTTTCAGACGCCGGCCCCATTTGGCCTTTATGTCCTTGACCCCATGGCCTAACGGGTGGCCAACAGCGTCTCTCTCTCTCTCTCTCTCGAACCCCGCCGTCCCAACTTTTTAATACAGCGGGTTGTAGTTTCCGGGGGGTCCCTGCTGGGACCAGCACCCCCGAAGAGGACCCTTGGGGATCCCTGGGGCGGCTGGAAAGGCTCCTCCTCCTCCTCCTCCTCCTCCCTCCTCCCTCCTCCCTCCTCCCTCCTCCCTCCTTCCCTCCCTGCCTTCCTTTCGGCATCTAGGCACCACCGTGCGCCCCGCCAGTGCCATCCTGGGCGCTAAAGCTGGTATGCAGGCCTTCCTGGCCTCGGCCAGGAGTGCTTGCACGCCACGCAGGGGGCGCTGGCCGGCCAGGCACGGCGGTGGTGTACGGGTGCCTTCTGCATCTCCCTCCGTCGCTCGCTCGCCCCCCCCCCCCCCCCCCACCCCCCCCCCCCCCCCCCCCCCCCCTCTGGGATCCCTCCCTCCTCCCTCCCTCTGGCCTCCCTCCTCCTCCCTCCCTCCTCCCTCCCTCCTCCTCCCTCCCTCCCTCCC